CCCCTGCTCAGTCTGTATCATGTTACTTTTATGTATGTGTTCCATTTGGTTTGGGATAACCAATTGTGCTCATCCCTGGGGAAGACTATTTCTCAGGCTCTCAGCGTTCTTTGGTTGCCTGTAATCCTTTGTGTAGAGCTGGGGCCTCTTGGGCTCTCTACTGTCCGGGTTAGCGTGTCTTATTGCTATCGTCCTTCAGCCCATGTTTGGGTAGCCATGTTGGTAGGACTAACTTTATGGGTATAACTATTTCATATTGCTCAAACTCGTGAGTTTATGTGAATTGTATCTCTAAAGGTAAAGGATCTATGATGCTCTGTCAAAACCCTCATGGCTGATTCCATCATTCCACCTCTTGAGAGCTATAGTGCCTGATAATCTTTCAACTTCCTTCCTGCATGGAAGGCCTATTGGTTTTATTTTGAAGGGCTGCATGGCAGCATGTAGCCACTAGGTGGTGGTAGTGTGTCACAATCCAGTGTTGTGGGATAGTTGTATGCTGTGTGAAGATGTATTGTTGTGATTGGTTTAATAAAGAGCTGAACAACCAATAGATAGGCAGGAGGTATAGGCGGGACTTCTGGGCAGAGACAGAGGAAGATAGAGGTGAGTCTAGGTGCCCAAAAGATGTGAGGAGAGAGGAGACGCAGAGGAAGCAGGATGGGCAGTATGCAACAGAACACAGATGAATAGAAATGGGTTCGTTTAAATTATAAGAGCTAGTCAAAAACAAGCTTTCATAATTAATAAGTCTCCGTGTCTCTACTTGTGAACTGGTCACCCAAAGGAATACCCAACTCTAACCCAAACATCTCCTACATTTAACTCAAGCCCATGACATCGAGAATGGAACTTCTCTGTGCTGACATAGTTCTTGGTACTAGTTAGATTGCACGATGATGTCATTTCTTTCTTGCCAAGCCAGTACTCATACTGGCTTTGTCACAGGCTGCTCAGCCTTAGGAACTCATATCTCAGAGGGACCTCCTCAAGGACGTCTCCAAGCAGACAGTCCTGCTTCTCACTCAGAAGCATGCGGCTTCTGCGTTAAGAAGTGAGGAAAGTACTAAACTTTCTACTGTTTCCTTCTCACTTCTCTCCTCTACCCTGTGTATTCTAAAGCTTTACTTATTTTACCAGTATAACTTCCTAAACATTGTAACTGCTTAGAAATCCCCCCCCACCCCGCCCAAGGAATACTGAAGTGGCTTGCCAAAGGAGACAAGGGCTGAGGAGCTAGCTCAGTGAAGCGTTTGTCATGTGAACATGAGGCCCCGAGTTCCATCCCATGTTAGAAGCCAGATGTGGTTGTATGCATGCATTTGTAACCCCCGTGGAAACAGGCAGATACCAGCCCAGCCTAATCATGAGTTCTAGGTTCCAGTGAGAGACTCAAAAAACAAACAAAAATCTAAGGTGGACAGGACCTGATGAGCAAAATACGCATAGGCAGCACCCCCAGGAGAAGGGAAGGACTGTCTTTCTGAAGATGCAGAGTTCAGTTTGGCCGAATCAGGGCCGCCTCCTCAGTCTCTCTCTAGAAAGCTGCCCAGGACCCTTCCCCTAGGGAAGAGGATATTTCTTCTTGAGGATGGGACTCTGTTGTCTTCCTCCAAGAGAACGGCCTCTTCCTGGTCCTCAGCTCTGTTCTCTCCTAGCTGCTGAGCAGACATGTGCTTTTCGGGCTCACCTGAAGAGTCAATGTGAGGTGCAGGGGTGTGTCTGCCGCCTTGCTCTCCCCAACCCTTCCCACCTGCCATGTCGGAGCAGACAGCTTGGAAGCCAGTCGTGAGCTTCAGGATTGGTGTCACTCCTCCAACCTGAGATGCATAAAATGCTGCATCAATTGTCCTTGCGGTGCGTGGCCCGGTTTCCTCAGATGTCCTTAATGAGACTCCGAGACCCCGCCCAGAGTTCCATTGCTGTTCACCCCATGAATGAGCCCAAGTGACTGCAGCGTGGCTGAGCAGTAAGAAGAACCAAAGGAGACCTGCTGCTTCTGGGCAGAAAGGGAGGGAGGGAGAGGATGGATTTCAGAGGCGGATTTCTCATGTGACACCTACCCCACCCACCTCAGCTACAGCTGTAGATCGTGATTTGATAAGATGCCTGGGCAGTGGCTACCTGGGCCAGCTGAAGGAACAAAGCTAAAGGAAAATATTAACTTCAGAGTCGATCGGTCCCTGTTACTTTATTGGTGCATGCCTTGGCTTTGGACACTCATGTAATGATGAGCCTCTATGAGAATGGGGGGGGGCTCTATTAAAATGGGGGCCCCTATGAGAACTGGGGGCTGGAGAGATGGCTCAGCAACTAAGAGAATCGGGGAGGAGGGTCTGTTGGTAAATTGTGGAAGCAGGAAAACAAAAGGGACGAGGGTGTTCTGAAAAGAAGCCTGGAAAAATCCCTGACCTGACTTCCTGTCATGCTGGAGGTGGGATTTTGAGTGAGTCACCCCATCCTGAGAGGCGTTAGTACCTTTACTTTTCACACAAGTAAATAAACTAGAAATCTCTTTAAAAATCCCTGTAAAAGAAACAGAGGGGGGTGTGGACAGTGGCTGATTCTCAGCTCAGAGACTGAAATGAGCACCCATGCAGGTGACCTCTTGGTATGTTTTAAAATATATTTTCTTGGCTTTTCCAGGAAATTCTAAGAACTTTTTCTCACTCCTTTTTTACCAAGGACACACACACATGGGGATTTAAATATTGTGACAAGGGACTGCTTTCCAAAAGGCACTGACCTTGCCTCAAGGTAGACAGAAAGAGCTGAACGCACACACGTCTGACACACGAGTTGGTCCACCTAGACCCCAGTCATCACCCAGGCGGCAGAAGAGGCAGCGGCAGTGGATCCGAGGGCCCTGCATCCCTGTCTGCTTGTAGAGAAGTCATCAGAAAGCAAAAGCAGCAATTGTTGTCATCTGGGGGCATGATTTTCCTTCATTTCTATTACGTCAAATACGTGATGCTCTCTTATTGCCCTGGGCTTAGTTTTTTTTCACCAGTTTCATCGCCTTTTTATATTAACACTTTTTCTAAAACACAACTTTCAGTGGTCACCCAACTCCATTGAGTGAGTGTGTACTAGAACCCGTCAGTCATGTTGGGCATCTAGTGCTCGCGAGAGCATCCTTCTGGATGAATCTTTGTACCCTTTCTCTAGTATTCCTTTAACGTTTATCCCTTAAAAGATTCCCAACTTACAGGACAAGCACATTGTTTCTGTCCTAAACAATTCGAATACAGTATCCAAATTGGCCCCTGGAAAAATCTGCTGACTGAAGTATATCATCAATATTCTGACATTACCTGGTCCATTCTTTCTTTGCTGTCTGCCCCTCCAATGTTCCCTTGGTTGGAGTCATAAGTCTGCTTTGTAAGATTTATTATGTATACAATATTCTGCCTACATGTATCCCTGCAGGCCTGAAGAAGGTATCAGGTCTCATTATAGAAGGTTGTGAGCCACCAAGTGGTTGTCGGGAATTGAACTCAGGTCCTCTGGAAGAGCAACAAGTGCTCTTATCTCTGAGCCATCTCTCCAGCCCAGAATCATCTGTCTTTATCATTAAGGAAAACTCTGAAGATGGCCATTCTTTCTCTTTGTGGCTCTGCTTCACATAAACAATTTTCTCTTGGCTATTTTTTATTTGACCCAGCTTACAGTGCCATTGAAAGAAAAAATATATGTGTGTATGTATTATGTATGTATATCTATATATGTGTATGTGTGTATATATACATATATGTGCATATACATACATCCCTAGTGCCTCTGTCATGTATTTGGAAGTTAAGAAATATGCTTCTAAGTAGCACCCGTGTTGCATAAGAAATCTATGGCAGATTAGAACACATTTTCAAGTAAGTGGCAGTGGAGATGCTGCACCTGTGGTAAGCCTGTGGTCGCTGCTAAAAGACACTACCAACAAGCTTTCGCATTTCAATCCCAATACTGAAAAATCAGAAAGTTAATAAACACACAGGCGAAACCAGCATCCTTGAGGTCAGTAGCTCCCCCGTGTCTTTGTGCACCTTCTCATTTCCAGCACAGCCCTCAAGACAAATGATTGCCGGACCCGTCAAACCCTAAAGGCCATGATTCTAAACACTGCTGATTCTCAACCATGAGGGTGGGGAATTCCCGGTGCAACTGATTTTTAACCAGTCCAACAGGCTCAGACTTAGGGAGTGAGAGATGCCTAAATGGCCAGAGACTTGCGTGGCAGAGAGAAAACACCAACACTACAGTGCACCCTGGCACACCCAGACTGCAGTGAGCTGAGCACAACCATGTTCTCCTTAACGTTGGGTGGCCTGGAGAAATGTTTATTTTACCAAAAAGCGTTCCGGGGGCTGGGAAGATAGATGACCTCATGGGTTAGAGCATGCGCTGCACAAGCATCAGAGCCTAAGCTTGAATCCTAACACTCACACAAAAAGCCAGGCACAGCCATGGGCACCTGTCACTCCAGCACTGTGGGGACAGAGAAGGGAGGATCTCCGGGGCTTGTGACATGGCAGTCTATTTCCGGGTACAGTGGGACCCTGCTTCAACGAATAAGGTAGAGTGAGAGCAGAACGCCCGATGCCCTCCCCTGACCTGTGCATGCGCACACACGTGTGTACACCTCCACACATGCTCAAAATAAAGGCATTTTAGAGATACAGGTTAAAGACAAATCCTTTGGTGTCATTTCAGCAAGAACGCTGCTTTGTTTGATCGGCCGGATCATGTGTCTTACACAGTCAACTGGGCGGAAGTTAAAGGAAGTTTTGCATGTGTAAGGGATAGAGGATTAGGCTCTGGGGATTAATTTTACTCAAGGAAAAAGAAGTGACTTTAATTTCATTAATGGTCTCCTGGATGATTCTGCCCCGAGCTTATCCCTCCATTAAATATTAATTTAGTGGTGCTCAGTGCTTAGTCCATGGCCTTTGGTATCACCGCTGGAACGGACACTAACCTGTTCCGTATTTATAACTGAATCACAGGGCTTTTTCAGGAGAAGTCAGCAGAGCAATGCCACCTACTCCTGCCCTCGTCAGAAGAACTGTCTGATCGATCGAACCAGCAGAAACCGCTGCCAGCACTGTCGACTGCAGAAATGCCTTGCCGTGGGGATGTCTCGAGATGGTGAGCCTCTCGTGACTGGAGTGGGACAAATGCATGGGGCTGGGCAAGCACTCCTGAAACACAGGCACTGCTCCTTCAGGGGAAACCCTCTCCATCCTCTGCCATCCTCTATCCGTGATCTCCGGGAGTCAGCTGACTGGCTGGTGGGGGTAGACAGAGAAGTGTCTTATAGCCAGAAAACCCTCAGATTGCCAACATTTCAGAAACTGCAGGTATGCGTTCTCTGAGGGCTTTCGTAAACATGCCTCCTGCAGGAAACCCAAGCCAGGACAAATTAAGTAGACGTAATGCTGGTAAGTCTACTGACATTTGGCAGGAGATAGCCCTTAGGGTAACTGGGTCATCTGGATCACCTACCAGAGTCAAACGTTTACACCTTCTAAACATGAACATAGTACAAAGTATGGCTTAGAGATAAATGCCCTTCTATGTTAAGAGAAGGAAGGCATAAGGACTAGAAATGGGCCCCTGTCCAATCACAGAGCATCTCAAGATCCTCCCTGAAACTGATCTTAAGTGCACGAGATAACAAGACAGTTTCGCATGGAACCAGGCCAGGAATGCAGCAGGTCCACTTTAAGGATGTCTCCGAGCACACTAGCTGACTGTCTGCAGAGATCTCCTTGGATGGAGTGGCAGCCTGCCCTTGCCTCCATCTGATGTTCTTAGGACCTGGCGGAGCCGCCCAGGCCCCAGTTCACTTTCACTTCCTACCCTGCAAGTCTCTCTGCCCTCCTAGAGAGGTCCAGCTTTTGCCATTAGCAGACAGGCATCTCAGAACCCATAGCAAGTTCGTCTTCCAACAGCATTAAGCTGACAGCTAGGTGCGGCTCTTATCAGCCTGCAGTTAAAACCAGAAGCTATAAATGCTAGTCCTTCCCCACAGCTGGATGCGACTGTCATTGTATTAAGGCAAAAGCATAATTACACCCATGGGGTGTTCTACAATGTTCTTTGTCCCTCCCCAAATTCAGTACCTTCAGGATGGCTTCTCACATGTGTATGTACATGTATGTACAGGCTGTTGTGGGGAAGAAAATACATTCAGCGCTTCACAAATGAAATGCCCGTTTGGCGTCCAGCCCTGTCTGAGCTGTGGAAGCTCCGAGGTGGCTGCTATTCTAGCTTGTTCCTCTGTATAAAGCGCAGGACCTCCTCCCCGGTGAGAAGAGTCCTCCGCTGGTCAGTGGTGTGGTCTCTCAGCTTCCAATTTCATCTCCCCTGCCTTCTGCCTCTCCTGTCACTCTGACAATGGTGGAATAAATGAGTTTGTCCCCCAGTCAGGAATCAGTTTAACGATGATCAGTTAGGAAAGCGGAGTCCCTCCAGCAGGGGCTACCTCTGTATACTGCCCAGGCAGGGAGATAAAAGGAACCTCTGTGGGAGAATTCCAACCAGGAAAGCGGTTTCCTACCATCTAGATGAGTGAACTGGGAAGCTGCCCCAACCCTGCCATCTTTCCATGCGAGGACCCATCCTGAGAAGTACGACAGACACAGCCCCTTCCCAGGGGATCTTCCAAGGCTTGCCACACCCCACTTCTTGTTTACCTGAGGCTAAATGATTGCAGAGCAAAGTATCACTTACTGATGGATCCAATTCAGACCCAGGGGTGTGTGCCTTAGCTACCTAGGAGGCAGAGAGAATGACCCCTTGCACCTGGGAGTTCAAGGCCAGCCTGAGTGACACAGTGAAATGACCCGTCTCCAAATAGAAAAGAAAGACAAGTCCACAACTGCCAGGGGGCCTCGTAAGTCAGGCAGATTCCTACATACTGTTCTGGAAACTATAGGCAGCCTCTCTGTAAAGTCCCAGATCCAGCTGCTCAACCAGGAAGAACTTCATTCTTGTGTAAAGATGAGAACATTCTTGTGTGAAAGATGAGGCTTCTGCCTCAGCATACCCCATGAGTCTTTGCATCTCTGCCTCTCTGTCCAAAGACTGCAAAGTAAGGGTCGGGTCTAAGCCAGGCCATTTGATAGAGAATGAACAAAGCCATTAAACTACTATTCCTCAGAGCCAGGCTTGTATGCCTGGAATCCCAACACTCAGGAGGCTGAGGCAGGATGATCAGCAGTTCAAGGGCAATCTGGGCTACATAGTGAGACCCTGTGCCAAAAAGAGGGAGGGAGGGAGAAACAAAACAAAACATTATATCCTCAGTGAGTCTAAGGGTGTAAGACTGCAGGGAAATAAAAGGAAGGTTGCCTGGGATGTATGTTGGGGGCACATGAAGAAGCCTGTTCTTGCTTGTGGGTGGCCTGATTTTGTGCTAACCTGCTCTGAGGTCTTCTGGAAAGCTCAAAGCTTGGGAAAGGATAACACTAACTGGTTCAAAGAGCACTTTGCTTTCTCTTCCAGCTGTCAAGTTTGGCCGGATGTCCAAGAAGCAGAGAGACAGCTTATATGCCGAGGTGCAAAAGCACCGAATGCAGCAGCAACAGCGAGACCACCAGCAGCAGCCTGGGGAAGCTGAGCCTCTGACACCCACCTACAACATCTCGGCCAATGGGCTGACGGAACTGCACGATGACCTCAGCACCTACATGGACGGGCACACCCCGGAGGGCAGCAAGGCCGACTCTGCCGTCAGCAGCTTCTACCTGGATATCCAGCCCTCCCCCGACCAGTCGGGACTGGACATCAATGGGATCAAACCAGAACCCATATGTGACTACACACCAGCATCTGGCTTCTTCCCCTACTGCTCCTTTACCAACGGAGAGACTTCCCCAACCGTATCCATGGCAGAACTAGGTAACAGCCGGTGTGCATGCTGCTGCTGGTTTGCTCTGGGTATGCCCTGTGAAGTTAAGAGCGGTATAAGGGACTGTCCTCTGATGGGTGGGATTTCCTCTCCATCTGTGCTGCCCATTCAGATGCCAGCCTTGTTGTTGGACTGTTCCTATGGTGTTTGCAGTACATGCATTGCTCAGGAACTAGACAGATGTATATAAGCAGCCTGGATCCCACATAAACACAGAGGAAGGCCACCCAGACTGATTATTCTCTTAGACTCCAGGTATTGCTTTATGCCTAAGGCCACACACATACACAAAGTCCACTAACCAAACCTGAACCATAGATATATTCTTGTGATTTTTTAAAAGTTTTTAAATTGGTTGCTAAAATTTTTATATTTTTATTTATTTTTTTTTATTTTTTATTTTTTAAATTTATTTATTTATTAAGGATTTCTGCCTCGTCCCCACAACCGCTTCCCATTTCCCTCCCCCTCCCCCGATCAAGTCCCCCCCCCCTCATCTGCTCGAAGAGCAATCAGGGTTCCCTGACCTGTGGGAAGCCCAAGGACTGCCCACCTCTATCCAGGTCTCGTAAGGTGAGCATTCAAACTGCCTAGGCTCCCACAAAGCCAGTACGTGCAGTAGGATCAAAAACCCACTGCAATTGTTCTTGAATTCTCAGTATTCCTCATTGTCTGCTATGTTCAGCTAGTCCGGATTTATCCCATGCTTTTTCAGACCTAGGCCAGCTGGCCTTGTAACAACTGTGTATCACGAGGGACGGTGTGACACCGCAACACATGTACCCATGGTGCAGCAGTCAACTAGGGGAACTCAGTTATCTGTCACTCTGGACACTTAGCATAAAGCAAGCATTCAGAACCCCCTTCCAGCTTTTTCAAAGGGAAGTCCACATCACCATTATCCGAGCCACCCTACTATGGAGCGGCACACCCCAGTTCACTCCTCTTGCGATTCTAACTGTCCTGTGTGCCTGTTGGACAGTCTCCATCCCAGATCTCTATCTCCTAACCTTGAACATTTATAATAAAAATCAGTTTATCGGCTCCTTTTTGGGAGATTTTTTTTTTAATTACCATGGAGATATTTGTGAACGCCAGTAACCAACCAGTACCAGTTGAATGATGACCCATCTGATGGGCCCCTCAGGTAGCCAAGCTTGGCTGCACTGGCATGAATTGTGAATGCCTGACGTGACTTACCTCTGAACTTGCCAAAATGTTTTGAAGATGGCCATTGGTAACAAAACTGATCACGTTTCATATAGGTCTCACTTCGCCAAAATAACAAACAAACCCCTCCTTCCTTATCGCTTGCCTCTTGGGCGATAATGACTTGGAAAGACTGGTGGCACAGACAACGGAGGCTTCCCTCCCTGTGTGTTATGCTAACACCTTCTGCTATATTTAATCGTTTTTTTTTAATACAGTGCTATTATTAGAAAAAGTTTGATAAGAGCCTTTACAGTTTTCGAATGATCTGCCGTTCCCCATGCTTCTGCACACGGGGTCGTTACAATCCTTTGGGGTATTTCAATTAGCAGCTGTGGAGACCAGTGAGCTCCGATAAGGACCTGGGGTGGTAAAGAGCCCGCCGGTCTGACTTGAGCACAGAAACCCTCGGTTCGCAGCCATAAAGGCCATGTTCTGTAGCTGCTGCCTCCACCTCTGCACCCCATAAAACATCCCTTTTAAGTGAAAATTTATATTTCCAGGCAAAAATCTCCAAATAGAACAACGTGAGTGTTCTTTCCAGTTTTTTACACAAGCATCTCTCTATGGATCTAAATTTAAACCCTTGGGAGCTGGGGCCTTTTTGAGCCTGCTCTTTAACCACTGCGCGGCACTAACAGTGCACCACCGCTCTTTTGATTAGCACAGAAACCTCTGAACTAGAAGGCATGCTGAGCAGAGGTAGGTTTGATTTTTTTTTTTAATTTTTTTTCCCCAAACTAGAACAAAAACTTTTTTTTTTTTGGTCATGGAATCTTGGTTGGCTGAAGCAAAACTGTAATGAAAATTAAATTTTCCAAACTGAATAAGGATTTGATTGAAAGCTGACAAGTTCCCACGCAAAGTGACCCGACTCGCCCCAGGCCTGCTGCCGCTTCGCCGTAGGGACAGTGAACCTGCCTGTTCGCCTGCCAGATATTCAATGCTGAAACAGATTCAAAGCACTGAGTCAAAGCATTATCCGTGCACATGGTATTTTGGCTAAATGTGCACAAATACTTGAATGGGGCTAAAAATGGCTGAGCTGGTGCCCTTAAGTCTCCGGACAGACCTACACTGGTCCCCTCCCAGTGGGCCTGGGAGTCAGGGCTATAGCATTTTCCAGGATGAATCGACTCAAATGGAACCAAACTCAAAACCAAGTTAGAATTCTTCTGAGAAGATTGTCTGTCCCATTCATAGGCCAAGGTAGTCTGAGGGAGCTGAACATGGCATAAAAGTGCCAAAGACTGGCTGAACCCTCTTCAAAGCTACCTCATATGCTGTGAGATTGCCTTCACAGCCTCTGTTCTGTAGGCCTTTCTAACAAAAACTCCAGACCTCCTTGTAGGCTAAACTTTGCCATCAGAATTTAAGCAAATGGAATTGCACGATAGAAAAGTTAAGTTCTACACAAACACTTCCTACATTCAATCCCATCTTTCAGGAATTATACCCACAGTATTCAGAGCAGAACAGGTCTCCATCCTTGGCTAGGAAGCCTTGCCCTTGACATTCAGTTAGTGTGCCTGGATCTACATTCCAGATAACCATCCAAGGTCTGTTTTATAAAGAGTGCTAACTGGGTTTGTGACAGTAGCTGTTAGCGCTTTGTTGCAAGAGATGGCTGACTGAGTAGGTGCGGGGAGACGAGAAGTCAGCTTATGTGGGTGGCGGTCCCAGCTTTGCTGTTGGGTGCACAACCCACTCTAAACCACATTGCCCGCAAGCAGCAACCATGCCTCTTGTGCATTCACATAGATATAAAGGGTAACACAAACTCGGAAGCCAGAGGATATTTGCATCGGAGCTCTGCCCCTGAACTGTAACACTTTGGAAAAGTTACTTAGCCACTTTGGCTCAGGTGCCTAGCCAAAAAAATAGGAACAGTACCTTCACCTTCCTTCATCTTCTCAATATATATATGAGAATATATATATGTATATATAATACACATTTTTTTCAGAAAAGATATAAAACCTTTGGGTCTGCACAAAGAAAGTACTGTTTAATTTTTAATTATTGATGTTATCTATAAAAATGAGGTATGCTCAGCCCAGATGGTATCTTCTAAAGTTCTATCCCACCCTGAGAGTCTGAGAGAAAATCTTAGAAGCCGGGACTTCCCATGGGAGGGGTTTAAGCGCTGTTACAAACACAGCACAATTCAAATTTAAAACGGAGATTTTCTTGCCATTTTGTTCTACTTTGAAGTAAACTTACAGCTTTGCATTGGGCTGCATCCATAGCCACAGGCTGTCCAAGGGCAGCGAGGGGAGCACACCTGGGTACCCTGACAGTGCTGCAAAGGTCAGGGTCAGGCAGGGAGACCCACTCACTGATGCCACAAAGCAAGGAAAATAACTCACTGCTCAGCTTTGCCCAGAAAGCTTGACTCCTAACGCCTAGATTAAACACACCTCACTGTCGCTACCTGGTCTGAGAGCCACACTGGCTTCTTAGACTCTATGCGATTTGGTGAGACTCTCCTCTGCTGAAAGGGATATTTAGAAATAGTGAAGGGTCTTAAAAACATTTGCCTCGCCAGATCTATTATGAACTGGAAATGTAGCTGCTGCCCCCTGCTGGCCCACTGTGTGAACTGGGTTAGGCATTGTCTCTTCCTATTGGCTGTTTTAAGAGTCCCACCTGGTCCAGGTATCCATGAACCATTTTGCAAATGCTGGGAATCGAACCTAGGATCTTGAGCATTCTGCCTCTGAGCTGTGTCCTCAGCCCTGGATAAAATTTGAGACGGGCTTCCTGCCATGCCCCTGAAACTCACTGCATCACTCATGACCCGGAAAGCATGGCAGTCTTCCCGTCTCGGCCTCCCAAGTGCTGGGATTACAGGCATGTGACACCATAGCCGGTTCCCAGTAATATTTGTTAAGATCAACTGAAACAAGGTGTTGACTGGAATAAGTGGGAAAGACATGAGGAAGAGCAGAGTGTGAGACCTGTAGAACCTCCTGAGCTTCCTTTTTTTAAAAATATGCTAATCTTGGTTTATAGTCTAGACACTGTTCTCCATAGTGAGAGCCCTTTATCTGAGCGGAATTTTCTGCTTTCCAACACCCATTCTTTTTTTTCTTAATGAGCTGGCTTCTCCACTTCTCCTCAGGTCTGTCTCCTTGAAGTGCTTTTACACTCTCTTTGTTTACACTCAATCTTTTAAAAAACACTATTTATCCAGGCTGCTTTGGTACCTGTGTGCTGCCAGATAGGGCTGTTAGGATTTATTATGTTTCTGTGTCTCTAAGGAGACTCTGGTTTCAGATTACATTTAGGTGAACTTGCTGTTTCCACACAAACATGTGTCCTCCTGTCTGAAGGAAGCCGTGGCATGTTTATAGCACGCATGCTCTGTCGCTGTTTGCCTGCTGTGGACTCACGATCCTGGAAATGTGGTTATTTTTCAGTATGATTTGATGTTCATAAACTCCTGTCAATTCTTTCCAATACATTTTTTAGGCAGGATCTTGGTATGTAGACATGCTAGCCTAGAACCTTCTATGTAGAACAGGCGATCCTCAAATACATGGCCATACGCCTGCCTTTACCCCAAGAATTCAAGTTACAGACATGTGCTATCACATCCAGCTTTTTAAACATGTGAGTCATCCTTCCGTTCCCTAACACTGACTACCATCCCACTTCACACAGTCTCTCCTATCTCCATTTTAGCAGCTGTATTCCTGGCCCTCTTCGTCCAGCCTTTCTAAGTCCCAAGATGCCAAGTACAAAACTGCCTGTCCTCTGTCCCCAGATGCAATCTTAATACCTCAGCTTTCCTGGCAGAGTTCTGCTTGGTCCTATTGTTATGTCATATCCCAACTCAATCCTAAACATCCGAGATTCTTCAGAAGGTGAACCCCGTTACATCATCAAGTCTGTCTGTCCCTTACAAATGTCCTATGTGTTCCTTCATCCAGTGGCCCTTGAATATAGAACTCATCTCCTTCCCAACACAAATGACCACTCCTGCCAACCCTGCCCATCTCTTGGGTCCAACACAGAATCCCTCCTTTTCTAAGAAGCATTCTGCAGTTCTGTTCAACCAACGCTGATCTTTCCCTACCCTGAGATTGACTGCTTTACCTTGTGGTGTGACTTGCCTCATGCTCTCTATCTGAGGTCCTGAATTACCCTTCCTGTGTGTCAACACATGCCCACAATGACCAGTTCCAGAGATATCCTCGCTATATATTTAATATCACCGAAGCCCTCATACACAGTACATGTACAGATAACTGTACAGCATCAGGATGTGATGCTCCCTTTCTAACTGTGATTCATTCCATTCTCACAGCAGCCCTATGAACAATTTCCCCCCATTTTACCAAGGAGGAAAGCAAAGTACAGGGAGATTAAATAACTTGCAAAGGCCATACATCTCAGAAGTAGCAAGGTCCAGGGTCTTTCTCTTCACCAAATTAACACATGGTCTGTTCATGTCTCAGCAACGCTTGTCCCTATGTTTACTAGAAAAATCAAAGGTAATGAATGGCCAAGCCAGTGTAGGTGGTGGTGGTGCACGCCTTTAATCCCAGCCCTTGGGAGGCAGAGGCAGGTGGGTCTCTGTGAGTTCGAGGCCAGCCTGGTCTACAGAGTGAGTTCTAGGACAGACAGGGCTATTATATAGAGAAACCCTTTCTTGAACAACCCCCCCCCCAAAAAAAGAAAGGTAATGGTCAGTTGTTATTAATGCCGGGGGTGGGGAGATGTTTCAATCAATAAAGTAATAAAGTGCTTGTCATTACAGCATGAAGACCTGAGTTCAATCCCTAAGAAACCATGTTTTAAAAAAGGAAAAAAAAAAAAAAAACACTGGACATGGTGTAAGCACAGCACTGGGGAGGAAGAGAGTGAGGAGAGCAATTAAGGAAGACACTCGATACATGGACACGTACAAAAATAAAAGAGTTTAAATATATACTCACATACACACACATACACTTAATTTCCTGATTTTTTCAAAAGCCACTTTTGAAAAAAAGTCTATCATAAAAAGTCAAGAAGAGGGTATCAATCATTGTCATGCCTACGGCTCATTCAGTGCTCATCCAGACACTGGTAGAAAGCCTAAGACAAGGTCAAGCTCCTCAAGGCCTCTGGATCCAACACGCTTCATGCAGCTAGTGTTGGCTTTGCAGAGCCTCACTCCTGGGCCCAAATACAGAAGACTCCCAGCTTGCTTGCTTAGCTACACAAAAGAAGCCAAGACTTGTCAGCACACTGCCTTCTGCGAGTGCCTTTTTAAGGCAAATGACACAAGCCAAAGAGTTGCTGGTTCCTGCTCATGGTTGTCACCTCCCATTTTCTCCCCAGAACACCTTGCACAGAACATATCCAAATCGCACCTGGAAACCTGCCAGTACTTGCGGGAAGAACTCCAGCAGATCACATGGCAGACCTTCCTGCAGGAGGAGGTTGAGAACTATCAGAACAAGGTAGAGTCGGAGGGGTTGCTCTTTCCATCGAGACAGCACTGAGAAGCGGGGAGGAAGGCATTCACTCAAGAGTACAAACAGTCTGGAGGCAGATTGTCCTGCATCGGCTCTCTGATCTCTGCTTACGGGCCTTACCTCCAGAGCTGATCACAGGCTCAGGGCTTTATTGTCTTCCTCGGGTGCTAGGATGTGAAAGTTCAGCTGGAACGGATTTTATTGTGTTTTTTAAGTCCCTCTGTGTGCCAGTGGGAGACTAGATTGGGCAGCTCCCAAAAGTCTCTGTGAGCTAGGACTTGTCCTGATGCCACAAGAGATTTTGAGGTTTAAGAATGCTGCTAGAGTAAAGAGGGGTTGGTTCGGGATTGTGGACAAGAACAGGGCTTGGGATGCCAGAGAGATGGCTCAGTGCTTAAGAGCACTTGCTACCCTTTCAAAGAATCTGAATTTGATTCTCAGGACCCACATCAGGGAGGAGAGAGGGGGAAGAGGGGGAGGGGGAGGGAGAGAGAGAGAGAAAGAGAGAGAGAGAGAGAGAGAGAGATTGCTTGTGTGTTCATACACACTTAAAAATCTTATTTAAAAAAAGGAGAAGAATGAGGTTTGGGAAGGTCTGGCTATCACTGTTTAAGACTGAAGATGAGCCTGGCAGGTGGTGACCCTACTTGCTTTTATCTCTATGACATCAACCAATGGGCCACTAAAGTAGGAGGGTAAGCTGAAGGTAAGGGAATGGTAATTATCCATTTTGCCTTTGGGAAGAGATGGCTTTTGCCAGTGATGGTAGAAAGTCGGGCTGGGAAAGGACCATGGAGATGATGGAGGTATTTTTCCCCTTCACTGTTACTGGGGAGGTGATGGAGGTATTTTTCCCCTTCACTGTTACTGGGGAGGTGATGGAGGTATATCTTCCCCTTCACTGTTACTGGGGAGGTGATGGAGGTATATCCTCCCCTTCACTGTTACTGGGGAGAAACCCATCATACCTTGGCTGTGGCTACCCAGTGACAGCATCAGGACCATGTCCTCTTGCGACTCCGCTTCAGGATTTTTCCCCATCACACTGTTAGAAATAACCTTAAGCTGCGGGTGTAGTGGGAGAGCAGAGGAGCAAGCAAAAGCTCCAGGACGCTGTGATGAGTGGGAAGGTGGGGAGAGCAGCAGCTCCCTTAGTCTGCCTCTGAGGACAGAGTCACCCCATCACCCAAGCCACAAAGGAGAGCGAGCAATGCAATGAGAACTAGCAGGCCTTGTGAAATAGGACGTTGCCTACTGGCTGAGAAGCCTCCAGAGTTTTGATATCATTTTGTCATTTCTGAGTAGACAACAATTTGTATAAATGTGTGAAACAAAGATGTCATCTAGCTCAGCAAGTACAGACCAAAAAAAAAAAAAAAGTACTTGACCCCCCTTTCCTTCCACACCCGTAAAAAATAGGTAAACTCCCTAAAATAAATGAGCTGCTTTTTTTAAGAAAATCCTCCACTTACTGTGGAGCCCAAGTTAGAGCAGTGATGTATATTGCTCTCCTGACTTGTCTTTAGCTGTTGGCCCCACATGTTCATAATACCCCTGACTTTCTACCCTACCCCCCCCCCACTTCAACACCCGCATTCAATTGCCTTCAAACAGTAAGCCAGGGATCTCAGGAGGCAGAAAGGATATTGAAGCAGGCTTTTAAAACCTAAATAACAGAGACAATTTTTTTTTAATCCTATAATCTTTCTTAACCCATTTCCAAAGAGCTTTCTTTTTACAAACTAGGAAGCTAGCTAGTTGCACTAGGGTTCCCAGCTAGTCTTATGTTAATGTGTCTCCCTCCTTCACAGCAGAGAGAGGTGATGTGGCAGCTGTGTGCCATCAAGATTACAGAAGCTATCCAGTATGTGGTGGAGTTTGCCAAACGCATTGATGGATTTATGGAGCTGTGTCAAAATGATCAAATTGTGCTTCTAAAAGCAGGTACGCGCTCTGCAAGTGAATCCTGATGTAGCCCCCAGCCTGTTTTCGCCTGCTCGTTAAAGAAATGCTTGCTAAGGAAGGTGTCGGAGCTGTTTTTCTCAGTGATAAGAGCTCAGGGTTTGCTTAGCAGAAACCGAACCCTTTTTATAAAAGCATTTTAATGATACAGATGGTCCAGTGGTTAAGAGCGCTGGCTGCTCTTGCAGAGAACCCAGCACCCACCTGGAGGCTCACCACCATCCATAGCTACAGTTCCAGGGGATCCAATATCTTCTGACCTCAGGCACCAGGCATGTACATGGTGCACACATATACATGCAGGCAAAACATTCATACATACCAAGTTATTTGTTTAGGTGGTGTGTGTGTATATAATTTTAAAAAGATGCCCAGGAAGCATTGTTTCCATTTTCCTATTTCTCTGGGAGGAAGATTATACTGGGAAATATTTGCATCCCAAATCTTAGCATCACCCTTCGGGCCCTCACACTGAACTGTTAGGAAGGTGTTTATGAGCTCAAAGAGTCGTTGCTAGGCTGGATTGTTGAAATCCGTATGTAAAATGTTTCCCAAGCTACCTTAAAACTCTACAATGCTGTGTGAGTCGGTCTTCATTTCTCCTGCCGCTTGGACAGAGGGCTGGTGTGACTGATAACATGAGAAGCCCTGCCTCAGCCACTGTGCCATCTCAGGAAGGCCTCTGTGTTAGCACCTCAGCAGGGGACTGAGATCAGAATGATGCTAAGCAATCCTCTCTCACGCAGGCTCTCTGGAGGTGGTGTTTATCAGGATGTGCCGTGCCTTTGACTCTCAGAACAACACCGTGTACTTTGATGGGAAGTATGCTGGCCCCGATGTCTTCAAATCCTTAGGTAAGGAAATCTCATGTTGTTGGCTCCGTAAATGGGGGTCATGTTCAGGGATGTGGCTGGATAAAAGCTCTTGTTGCACAAAATAAAACTGGTTATTTGGAATCTAAATTAATGGGTGATACACCTATCTTGCTATCTGTAGCTATCTGCTATAAAACAGTCTGCATGCAGCAAATAATCTCGTTGACATCATGTGCAAGCTTCAAGTTCATTTGTCGGTTAGCCATTGAGTGAGTTATTATCTACATCACATGTAAACTCTTTGTAGGTCAGTCATTGAGGGAGTTATCACATGACCTCTCAATGCCCCTTCCAGGTTCAAGTAAATGAGATTTTCAATGAATGAAGTGTTCAATATACTTATAGAGAATATGATTCATATGTAAAAATGAAGCCCACTGGAAAGGGCTCAGAGCTCTTCGGCCATTGTGGGGTGAAGAGGGCAGGCTGGTGTTTAGGGGGGCTGGGAGCTGGCAAGCAAGGACACCCCTCTGTACCCTACGAGGGGTCCGGTTACTGCTACTCACTTTACCTTCCTCATACAGCTCCCACCATTCCCGGCCTCTCACTGTTAACCATTTACATAAAGGAAATATAAACATCGAAAAAGTCCAGTAAAGCTGAAGAAAACTATGGGATATGCATCGTAAATATGTCCTTTTGAGTTTCTGTAATTTAAACAATCAGAATGTTGCCATTAAGGAAAAACAAGGAGAACCCAAGACGTGTTGACTGGCTTATTTTAACCATGAGCAGTAAGAGGTTTGCCTAAGTGCAGCACGGCCCTCCACCATTCACAAATACTAACCAATTGGCAAACCTGATAACACAGAAACAAAACTTAATTCATCTTTGGCGAGTTGAATTATTATTTTAGGAGACTTCCACATTATTTTCAATTTGATTAATAGTTAAAATAATTATACCACCAGCATGAACCTGAGTATCCTAGTCAGTAGGGCATTGCAGTTAGCCAGTAGCCGTTAATCCTGTTTATTATAAATAAGGGTTCTGAAGTCAGACAACCTGGCTTTGAATGTCAGGTTGTGGCCGTGGGTACATTATTTATCTCTATTAAGTTTCCGTTTCTTCAGCCCTAAAATGGGAATCTAATGATAACATGCTCCTCGCAGGGCTGTTTTGAAATCCGAGGAAGCACTAAGAATGTTATTCAAGTAGTTATCTGCATAGGAACCCAGGACATGTTCTCTCTCATTACTGTAGGTGATGATGGGGGGGGGGGTGGTCCTGATGTGGAGTTAATGGTGGTGGTTAGGGTACTACTGATAGTGGAGATGATGCTTTGTGATGATGGTGGTAATGATAATGGTGGTACCAGAAGATGTTACCAGTGATGGTGCTGTTGGCTAAGCCATTTTCTCTTTTAACACTTCAGACTACTCAACTAAGAAATGCCCTTCCTGTCCCATCGCATCTCCACCTTCCCTATCTCTTTTCACCTTGTTCTGTATTCTTCTCCTAGGGTAACCACCGACATCCTAAACTTCCTTTATTTTAATCATAGGTTGTGAAGACTTCATTAGCTTTGTGTTTGAATTTGGGAAGAGTTTGTGTTCTATGCACCTGACTGAAGATGAAATCGCATTATTTTCTGCATTTGTACTGATGTCAGCAGGTAAGAAAAATCAAACGAAAACACAACAGTTTCTGACATGTCCAGTAAAGAATGTTTTCACAAGCACAGGACTTTTAACACATTATCTAATATTTGTGGGGCTTCCGAGAGCAGCTGCCACCCTTATTCAATTTAAAGTTTCTCAAAGTATACTCCCTCTACAAAACACACACGACTCTTTTCTAAAGACCTTATAGGACTAAAGAGATGACTCAGTGGGTAAGAGTACTGGCTACACAAACATTAGGACCTGAGTTCAGATCTCGGCACCCACGTTAAAAAAGAATTACACACAAGTAAGAGCAACCTTAGCACTAGGAAAGTGACTGGAGGACTGAGGGCATTTGCTAACTGCCAGACTAGCTCCAAGTCAGAGAGAGACCCTGTCTCAAGGGAAGACAGTGGGGAATGGTAGAACAAGACACCTAATGTCCTCCTCGGGCCTCTACAAACATGTGTGTACACATGAATTCCTCTCTCTCTCTCTCTCTCTCTCTCTCTCTCTCTCTCTCTCTGTGTGTGTGTGTGTGTGTGTGTGTGTGTGTGTGTGAGAGAGAGAGAGAGAGAGAGCTTATGATATGCAGATAAAAATTTTAAGAAGTAATAGTTTCATAAATCTTAACCAGTACTAACTCCACATACCAAGACAAAGGAGTTCATAGAATAGAGTTGTTCTTCTTGGTACCAGTCTCTAAGACAGTGTGCCTCTATAAACACTGTCATCCACAAGTCTATCTGCCTCCAACCTACTTTCCCAGTAGATCGCCTCTTGGGGAACAATCCTGTACTCGGAATTCTCACACAAAGACATTCCTAAATTAACAGCCCCTAAGTCATTTGAAATTCTACTGACAGTTTGAGTTGCCCTGGACAATTTAACTTTGCAGAAAGGCCAGCGGGACAGGTGGGATAGTGCCTGTAAAAGAATTATCACAAAAGCTTGGGGAGGGCAGGGCACTGTGGGTTCATGTGCAGTCACTGGGGTCTGGCCCTAATGTAGCTGGTCTTTAGACGAAATGCAGCCTCCCGCCATCCCAGGACCAGATGCAGCTGGAAGAGTTAATACCCTGCCCTAGATGTCAGAGATTGTCTTGGCAGCCTGCAGAAGCAAAGTTTCAAAGAGGGAAACTGGCCTGTGAGTCTGTGAACACACATCATAGCACAGGAACCAGTGTTTTGGTCAGGAGGAACAAGGGTCTGATGCAGTGTTGAAGGAATGGCACTGAGTTTCTTTTTCCCATGTTTAGATCGCTCATGGCTGCAGGAAAAGGTAAAAATAGAAAAACTGCAACAGAAAATTCAGCTAGCCCTTCAACACGTCCTACAGAAGAACCACCGAGAAGATGGAATTCTAACAAAGGTAAGGTCCACTATCTCCTGGCATAAATCTTGCATAATCTGGCATAAATCTCTTTATAAGTCACATGACCAGCCCAGAATGTAGCTACTTGCTCAGAAAGTTCTGTTGGGCCAAAACTCATTACTCGGGTTAAAATGTATTTGTTGTAACTGATCACAAAATTTCCTGCAGTAACACAGCAATTTGGGAAAGCATCATTATTACATGTGAATTATATGTATGGGCAGAGTATGTGCATGGAGGTGCTCACAGAGACCAGAAGAGCATGTTAGATCCTATGGAACGGAAGTTACAGGCAGTTGTGAGCTGGGAACTGAACTCTGGTCCTCTGCAAGAGCAGTACGTGCTCTTAATCACTGAGCCGCTTCTCCAACCCAGAAAGACCTTTTTCCTTAAAGAATGAACCCTCTCAGGAACCTCTTCCTGCTCTCTAAAGTTAAGCATAGAGCAGGGTCAACATGCTGCCCAGGAGGATCTTTGAATTTAGACGGAGGAAGCAGAAAAGGACTAAAAGATAACTATATATTCCAATACTGGTTCTCTTAAACTCATTAGTTATCAACAATAAATCTTCTTTGTATTTTATCAGTTTCCTATTTCTGGGCTGTATTAAAAGCATGAGGCTCCATTTTTGCTAATTATCTTTTTCAGCTAAAATATGATATCTCTCTCAGTGCTGTAGCTTCTGATGTTAGGAAAGCATCCGCTTCCATTCTTTGCTCAGTTGCTGTGTTGCACAGGAAGATTTGAAATGTTTGGTGCTTGGGTTTCCTACCTGATTCCTTCTGTTGTTTCCATGGTAGCTTGGGGAGGTCAGAGTGGAGAAATTGGGTTTAGTTTTGTACATGGTCAGTGAGCATGAGGGAAAGGGGAGAGCCCAACTGCCCAAGCATGAGACTACCATGAGGGCTGTTAGCATGGAGGGGACCCGAATGCAGACAGATCTGGTGAAGCAGTTCCCTAGAGACAGTTACTCTGATCTGCAACCACGAGACACCTTGCCTTGTGTGGTGCAGTAAGTTTACAAGCATCTTTGCAGGTCACTGTTGTTGCCTTAAGATGCTAGACTTTCATTCGCTGAGACCCCTAGTGGCTTTAGCATAGAGACAGCTATTTCTCTAGAGGAAAATCGCCCATAGCATTGACTCGTACAGTCTGGTGAATGGCTAAGAGGCTCAAGACACTAGCCAGATGATCTGAGTTTGACACCCTAGGACCCACATGGTGGGAAGAGAGAACTGACTCCCAGAGGTTGCCCTCTGACCAGCACACACACACATACTATATATACATACTTGCACACAGAGAGTTGAGATAAAAAATAAATAATTTAAAAAACAAAAGAATTGACTCGCACTTATTTTGCATACAGCATACTGCTCTCAGCGGTAGCGCTCTTGCTAACAGGACCTGCCTGCCACTCACCTACTTCTCCATCAGCAGACCTCTTCCTTTCCCACTGAGGCGGTAGTAGGGCTCCCCGATGGTACACCCTGGATTAGGGAGGAGCCCAGAACCTCGTCAGTGACTAGGGGGTGGGAGGATTTGCTTATGAATACCTCCTTGAGTTAAATTATTCATGTCCAAGGTACATTTGGTGTTTTGCAAGCATCCTAACATAGGCCGTCCATGTAGCCCTCCCTGCCCCTACGGGGAGACTTAAGCACATATGTCCTCACCATGATGAGCCGTGTTGCCGCGCTCACCCTGAGTCCTTGGATTTTCCCTCTCATGACTGCCCTCCCCTGACATCCTGTCCTTTCTCCTGCTTACAGCTAATATGCAAGGTGTCTACGTTAAGAGCCTTATGTGGACGACATACAGAAAAGCTAATGGCATTTAAAGCAATATACCCAGACATTGTGCGACTCCATTTTCCTCCGTTATACAAGGAATTGTTCACTTCAGAATTTGAGCCAGCAATGCAAATCGATGGGTAAATGTAGTACCTGTGCACTTCTAGAACGTCTGAAGTAAAAACATGAAAAAAAAAATTTAAAAAAGGAACTAAAACAATGACGACGAAGACAAAATTAACTGAGACACTTTCTATGGCCCTGCACAGCCCTGGAGCGCCAACACACTGCACAGACATCTTGTGGTGATCGGGGTTCAGGCACAGAGGGAAAACAATCAGAACCAATAAAAGCTAAACTTGTTTTGCTCATGCATATGATTTCCACTATGCCTACAGATACGGCCCTTTTTCTGTCTCGACTTCCGGAGCGGTTGGCCTCTGCGTCTAACAGGAGGAGGGTACAACAGTCAGAGGAGCCCCTTTTCATATAGCTCACTGCCCACAGACGCCTCCGGGTCACAACAGAGTGCAGCAGTGATCGGTGGCCCTGGTGTGCACCGCGGGCTTGCAGCGATCGGTGGCCCTGGTGTGCACCGCGGGCTTGCAGCGTTACTTTGCACAGCTTGCTTTTCTGTGTCATGAAGGAAGATTTTGTTTTTCTCACCGATTATTGCCGGTCAGCGGGATGGCGTGAAAAGGGGATCCACAGCGCTCGCAACAATAGCATTAGGATATATTACACAGGGTAAATGGGCATGAAGACTATATATAGCTAAAGAGATATTGTTTATATATTGTTTTAATTAATATAAAATGTAGTGACTGGCGTAGCTTTTCCTGTTGAATTGATAAGGCACTTTCCGTTTTGCACCTTTTGTTTTCTTTAAATTAAATGCTAGCGTGTTCACTGTCGCTGTGTCGCATGTACACCAGAAACACAAGTTTAGCTGAGAAGGCTTGGAAGGTACGTCGGGAGGTATTTATGCTGCTGTTTACAAAAAGGAAAAAAAAAAAGAAAGAAAGAAAAAAAAAAACGATTATTTTTAAAAGACTGGCTGGTCATATCCAGAAATCAACATGTTGAATTTTTTTTCCCATCCAGAAATTTGGAATTAACGGACTGCTCCCTAAATCATACTTTGTTTTGCATGCAATTAAGAATGGGTTTGTTTATGCTTCATACAGAGTCCAAGGAGTGTCTGATGCTGTGAGCTTAAACCATATGTGCAGTTTTTTAAGTTTATGAAATGCCATTTTGGGGAAGTGAAGGAGGGGAGACTCATTTGACACAATTCAGTAGTCAAAGGGACACAGTATTAACTTGGAATTCACAACAAATTAGTAACCAGAATATTAGTTGGAGAGCAAAAACACAAAACAAAAAGTAGATCTTATTTAGAAAAAAGATCCAAAGACTCTATGCGGAGCAAACACACTCCCTGCATTCATTGAATGTCTTATGTTCTTAGCATCAGGAGCCCTAAAAATTCATCTCAGAGAAAACTGATCCTAGACTAGCTGTCCCAGATTCTAGAATGCTGCTGTCTGTATTGGGAAGACAATGGACGAAGAGGGAGGGAGATAGCGTTGAACCTGGTTCCCGTATTTAAAATCACCCTTCAGAGTAAAGGGGATGCCAAGCTGCAGACATTTTCTGTGTATTTATCTTCACTAGAAGACTGTGGACTGTAATTTATTTTTTTAAATATTTAGAAGATAGTTGGGCTTTTGTGTTCAGGTAAGAAGTATTGAGGTATCCTTGATTAATTTTGCATTTTAAAAAATCCCCAGTGGGAGAAGGAAGGAACATTCTTATGTTCACAGGTGTGCATATTTTAAAAGCAAGTGCCCCGGGACTAGAGATGATGGCTCAGTGATCAAGAATGCTTATTGCTCTATCAGAGGACCAAAGCCTGGAACCCAGCAACCAGATCGGGCAACTCAAAAAAGCCTGTAACTCCAGCTCCAAGGTATCAGTGTTCCTATTGGCCTCTGTGGGTGCGTGTGTGCAAGCACACACACATACACACAGTGAAAGAGACAGACACACACACAAAAAAAAAAAATCAAGAAATCCTTTAAAACGAGTTCCCTTTTGAGAAATTAGGAGGCATTTGGAAGATGACTTTGGCCACAAGATACTGGTCTGGCATCAAAGATCATGCATTACCTGTGAGGAAAAGGGAACATCGTCCTTGGCACAGGTGGGTGCTTCCATGAACCCCTACACGTGCAATAGCCTTTTCTGCCACTAGGGTCCTTGTAGACTCTTTTGCCAGCATTTCTGTTCTTGCTGATGTCCCTATGATGGGTTTACCCGGGCCAGCCTCCCAGAGCGTGTCAGATTTTTAACTTCACTGACTTTCTGCCTTATTTACTGAGGGACTTGGGAAGTAGGAAGGAATTATTTGTACAGAAATGTGTGGGCGAAACCTAAATAACATCTGATTTTTTTTTTCAAAAACAGAGTAAGGGTTTAACCATAAACAGGAGAGCGATATTTACTTAAATTTCTTACAAGCATAGAAATTTTTATGTGTTTATATAGAGAGGTTAGCTGTCAACATATAATATTTATATTGGGCAAGAAGGGGTAAATCAAAATTTTATTTAAGCATAGTTCCTTTAAAGATTAATAGTATTTATATTCTGAAAAGAGTACAGTTTTGTTATTTATTTGCCCCCCTTTTTTTTTTCTGTTGTTTCTCCTGTGTGAGGGAATGGTGTGAGGTTTGGGTTTGGTTTTCATTTTTCTTTTCTCTTAAGTTCAGATTTACTAAATTTGGGGATGGTTTTAGTAAAGTATATTAACTTCTTTTTAACCAAAGCTTTCTGCATATGACCAGCCTCGGGTGCTAGCGCACTAAAGAGCAACTAAACCTAATCCCAGTGTCGGCATGTGAATAAGGGAGCTGACCCAACTTGTCCAAGGGGGAGAGAGAAGGTGACATTGAACTTCATCTTCCCAGGAAGGATTCTGCATGTACCTAACACAAAACAAACCCACGATACTGCAGTCTCAGTGCCATGCTGCGGTGGCCATGCTGCGGTGGCGTGGCTTTCACCACACAGCAGGAGAGAGCAGGGTGCTGCTGTTTCCGGGTGTTCCCGAAAGAAAAACGAGAAGTAGGCTTTCGGAGCAAAATCCTCTGACCTTGCGGGGACAGAGCCATACAGACGCACTCTGAGAAACTGAGGGGAGAACTGACGGACAATTTGCACCTAAGTTGAGAGTCACAGGGAGCCAAGAACAGGATGGAAAACCTTTGGCATTTTTCTTTTCCTTATCATGAGAACCCCTTGTGTGGTGTCACAAGGTGGTCGATGACAGAGAATCATGAAGCTTAATAGTTCATGTCATGAAAGTTGCCTGAACTTAAAGACTCGACGGTCTCCTGGGGACTGAGCAGTATTGTACGCTCAGCTGCTGGAATGCCATCAGATAACTCTTTTTTTCCAGAAGGTAAATGAGGCTTTTGTACAAAATCTGGATATTGTTACTGTGATACTCAAATGGTCCAGCAACATTATGAGAAACTGGCCTTGACCACAGTGAAGTCCAAAGTGCTGCTGAAAACACTTTTTGGACAGATCACAAACTGTACTAAGCTATGGATTTCTTTTTATTTTTTTTAAGCATTCAGAATTTTAATTTGTGTGAAATCCATATTTTTTTTTTTTGCCCCAAAGTCTTTCACATCCTGGTTCACCCTTCCTAACTTAAGGAAAACATGACCTAAGACACTGCTTCTAAGTTTGGTTGTTCTTTAGCGAGTGGATACCAGATCTCTGTGAGTGAACGGGGGTGGGCTGAGGGTCAGGGGAGGAAAGAGCGTGTCTGCCTGTGTGTGTGTGTGTGTGTGTGTGTGTGTGTGTGTGTGTGTGGCTTTCGTGTGTATGATATGCGTGTGTTAGACCGCTTCTAGGCTACTAAGTGTCAATGGAAAAGAAAATGTATTCAAAATACATAAATCAAAACTAGAAGATGGAAAAAAAGATTTATTCTATACAAAGCCTTGTCTGGACCACTCTAGAGAGACTTCTATTTTTTTAACCCTTCTATAAATATTTGATGGCACTAGAAATATTCCTGCAATAAAATGTGATTTGTGTAAAGAAAAAAAAAGATTTTGTAATGTGAAACAAAGAAAGAAAGTAATGTAATTTTCTAAAAAAAAAAATACAAACAAACAAACTTTGTATTATTTTCTTGATGGAATTTGCCTATCTGTCTTTGGAAAACTTTTTATTTCATTGAATGTGCCATAGTAGATGTATGTGTTTTTAGTTTTAGACTAAGGGATGGCTGTTTGTGTTCCGACATTCCAAAATGCAAAGCAACTTAGAAGAAGCCTTGATGAGGAGGTTTCAGTAGGATGCAAGCGTCTCTCCTTGTTGCTTTTTTGCACACGTCTTTAATTCCTACCTAGTGCAATATCTGTACATAGAGCACTTGCGGGTGTACTTTGATCCCTCAGGGAAAAACACATATTTGTACAGCTGTTGGGTTTGTTTTGGTTTTTTGTTTGTTTTTGGGTTTATTTTCCTTTTTGTTTTTGGCTAAGGAATGTCGATCGAATCACGTGTTATTGTTAAGAGGCAGCCAGATAATCAGCCTAAAGCCACTGTTTCAGACCCCGATTGTTTGAGTCATGTCTTTCCAGTACTATTATTTTCAAATAACAATTAATAATAATAATAATAAAAGGCTATTTTCTGACAGTTCTTTGTGCTGACTGGTGGAAAACGAAAGGGGGAGCAAAGCACCTTATGATTGACTTACTGTGAATGACAATCCATCTTGGTGTCAAGGACAGAGCCCTGTTGTCTCCAGTTGGGGCTGAGAGTCAGAAACACTGTGCTCAGGGATCTTCTAAAACTCTTAAACAGGGTGGCCAGTGGACTGGGACAAATTGTGTTCTCACTATTAAAAAGACTGATGATAATGCTATCCCTCCGAGGCACAAGCGAACTGTAGAGAAGTGTGTATATGTGTGTCTGTCTGTCTGTGGGAACTCTTCACTGTCTCATTTTCTTGCGTTCAAAATTTCTGTGTTTCAAAATACTTTGCAACTCCTGAGGCAGTGTGAAGTTCTGCCAGTGTGTATGAAAAAGATGAATTCAGAAGTGGCAGACCAATCAAGGCACAAAGTGCAGCCCGTTTACTGTTTCCCTCATAATTAAAGCAATCTCGGGGAACATAATTTTAAACAGTTCAAATTCTGTGTGTTAAGAATTAGATTTCTTTTTAAACCAGCAGTAAGAGCTATCAGTGAGATGGGCAGCAACAGAGAACCTGTCTGAGCTAGAAAACAACAGGGTTTTGTTTTTCACTGTATTCTCCTCCACAAGAGAACCAAACTCCTGTTATGCAAACCAATTCCTATTCCACAGCCCTAGCTGTTTTTATTTGTTTTCCTGCAAGAGCTGACATTTAAAGACAGGTCCGTTCCTGCATGACAGACCATACATACCTCGATCCAGCTGTAGGGGTTTCACAGTTCGAAAGGTAGTTCCTTTCTCCTGTTTCCATATATCACTTCCCATAAAGTCAGAGAGGCTCAGTGGAGCTAATGATTCTGCATCCATACGTGCTTGGCAGAATTCCATAGCTTCTTATTACTGTAAGAGAACTTGGTATGGGAAACCTGTCCCTGTCCATCAGGTGACAGTACTACCTCATACCTTGTTTTGAGTGTAGAAGGGGACAGAAATCTCCCTCCTCTCCTTTTCTCTCTCCATCCACATATACATGTGCACACGACATTTTTTTTTTTTACATAACACCACAGGGCCACCTCTTACTACTAAAGTTGTGATGCAGAACCCTACAAGGGTAGCCTTGTACTGTGGATCAGTTGTGTGCCCAGAAATGCAGCTGCCACGGTCAAATACTGATGGGCTGCTATTCTCTGTCATACTAGTCTTCTTTCTAGTCCCTAAACACTAACGTACAGACTGCTTCCACCAGATTTGATGATAAGGACTTCCCATTGCTGTTGATTTGTAATTGAAGGGCAACTAATATCTTCGAGGTGATTGGTCACACTTCTGTGTACTCCCTGTGCCCGTGCGTGCATGTGTGTGATCAGTTTGTGACACTCTCAACATCATTTTTTTAAAACAAGGTCGCTTCGTACCAGGAAGCCACCAGGAATGGGGGCAGAGCATGTTCAACCACACACACCCTCAGAACTTAGAGCAATAAACACTATTCAGTCACTTATTAACTTGGAAATGGGTGACAGAATATTTGATCCAAATAGAAACCACCTTTTCCCAGGGGTCTAGTGTGGAGAGTGGAAATGAATGTTTGAAAGAGATGTGTAGAGAATCCGTGTTCTCTGTTTACATGCAGTGTGTTTTGCCCCATAAGCTGTCCTATGTTTTTCTTTGATCCTTCTAGAAGCTAATGACAGACAGCTCTCTGTTAGCTTTATGTGCTATGCATGTCATTACGTTGTCCTCCCAGAACTGGCTTCTCTCTGGTGTTCATGTATTTCTCATTCATTATGACTTGGGTGGAGGAGTCACTACTTCTAAGATGATGATCTCCGAACACATTGCATACGTAAATGCAGAAATTTCTTGAGCAATATAGTGAATATGAATTCACACCCACACACACTCCGTAAGTACTGTACACATCTTCCCAAATCCTCAATTCTCTGCTTATCCACAGTGGTTTGAAATCTCATTGCAACAGTGGTGAATGTCTTAGACAGTAGGACATTAGCTGGCTGCTTCTTAAGTGTACCTTGTATCGTCTGCCTGCTCCTTTTGTGGAGATATGTTTTTGTATCGGATGTTTGGGCCAATGGGAGGCTTCAAGCTACAACATATTTTCCCAGCTTAAACATATTGAACTTATGACAAACCCCAGACAAGGCTTTTAATCTGTAAAGAACTGCAGTGTTGGGTGGTTTATTTACAAACCGTTTTCAATGTTGTCCATTTTTATGGCACCTTTAACAATATACTTGTTTCCAAAGTACAAAAAAAAATAATAGGTTAAATAATCTAGCCATAACTGAATGTCAAGCAATAAAACAAATGACTTTTGTGCATAGACTTTAAAAGCTACAAATTTTAGACATCCGCATGTAAATGCAATCTCTTGTTTACTGCTTTCTTCAACTCAAGCAACAGATTCCTTATTTACTATTAACTTAAGAACTTGTAATGGCCTGTACACATTCTCTCCTACTCTTCTTTCAAATTTACCTTCACCCCTGCTTTGGAGTCATAATATTTAATGTTGTTCTGCACACCTCTATACAGTTAACTTTCTGGCTTTCGTTCTGTATAGATAAGAAGATGTTATATTATAAACAGCCTACTCAGTGCAAATATTTATCTGTTTATCAAATCCACAATATGCTGTGTAATACTGGTTTTACTATCTAATCTATTTTAGACATAGCTGTTTAGAACTAGAGTGTGCTATTTTTGTGTTTTTCTGATGTGTGGTGCTAGATAAGTTACTTTTGTGAACAAAAAAAAAATTATCCCTTTTATTCCTAGACAAAACCACCTTTGGGTCTTGTTAATTTCACTGAGTATAACTATATATTTGTATATATATACATATATAAATATATATATATATAATCTACCTGTACCCAACCGGCAACTGTATCAGAGTGCTGGATTTGGGACATGCTTTTCTCTTTAAATACATAATATCATTATATAAATTATTCTAGAGTGTATTTAATTAGGATAAAATTACGTCCTTAGTATGGATATTTGACATCTATTGGGTGAGTTTGTTCATAGATATGGACATGAAAAACTGTTACCATTTAAGTGTGTTGCTCAGGTTGACATCGCATCTCCTGAGCTGAAAAAGAATTTGACAGGCCTTGACCCTGAAGCAACAATCTCATTTAGTGGAGAAATTCTTTCTCGCCTTACTGAGGAACTCTATAATTTGCACCGGACTGAAATGTGCATTAATTCCTAGTATAGATAATACGTAGAATATTCATAGAGGATTGATAGCACCGTATGCCGTTCCCCTCATCTGAGTCATGAGCTGTATGGACGTAGGCATTGGGGTACACTCCAAATTCAACAAGGGACGATGCTTTATTATGACCGCAACCAGTTCTGTGAACTGAATGGAGAACCTTTGTTAACTCTTTGATTCTTTCCCCAAGACTGACTGGCATTGTTAAAGTTGTACTTCAAATATCTAACTAAGGATGTGATTAGCCTTCTTAAATATTGATTAGAATTGTTCTGTAATATTACTGAATTTGTAAGATCTTTAGCAAAGATTTTTGAGCAATTTATAAATATAGAGCAAATGTTTCTGTTTACTGCACTTTTTGTAACTGAAGGTGATAACTTCTCACGTCACAATTAGCGGATCCCACGCATCACAATACATATTTAGCCACCATTCTGGACATTTCCCATTTTTACTGCTCTTCCCTTGATTATAAATGTAATCAGGTGGTTAATGGAAGCTAATGCATATAACTGACCTTTTAAAGTGAATTTGATACAATTTAGGGAGAAATCTCTTTTAATGCAATCATGCCATTCCTTAACTGTCTAGCTTGAAGAGAGATTGAAACATTTTTTGTTGGTTTGTTTGATTGATTGAATAAATGATTGATTTTTGCACAAATTTAGTATCCCAAGCTTCCCTAGGGTAGAACTTTCATCTCTTTGGACTTGCATATGGCCAGCACATGTCAGCATTTGGTAACTGTTTAAAATGACAAGCATGCCCACGATTAAAACACTTCCCAACTGGAGTGTTTTTGGGCAAAAGCTGATAAAATCTGCAAAGTCACACAGTTAACAGTTCTATAACCAAGTCTACAGGTCACATTGTCCTTTCAAAGGGCATGAAATGCTGAGTCTAATTGTGTGTGGGTCTCCAGGATCAAGCACACAAATGTCACATAACTCTCCAGGTAGCAAGCCTGGCCTGCTGTAAGTCGTCGTAAAGTCTGGAAGCAGTGATGCTGAACCTATAAATAAGATGTTGTCTCTTTTGTGTACAGGATGTAAAGCTTCTTTTTCTGTCACACTAGAAATGCAAGCCATTTATGGGATTCCTAAAAACCATAGTCTGGACCTAAACCTTTGCTAATGATCTTTACTAGAGGCTCATCCCACTTTTCACTGACATTGGGTTTTCTTTTCAATCCTCTCTCTACAGTAGTAGACTCCTATTCCCAGCTGTTTATTTTATTGAATCCTGAATTTAAAGAAAAAAAATATTTTGATTCATTTTGTAAATACAAGCTGTAAAAAAAGAGAGATTTAATGTTGTCTTTTAAATACTCCAATTTTCATTCTAATATGGATGTTGTTATATTGTACTTAGCAACTGTACCTTTAACATTACAGTACCTTTATTAAAAGTGCATTGAACACATCAATTTTAGATGTGCTTTGTGTGCTCTTATCCTATAATAAAATTTCAGCTTCTAATGGAACACTTGTCTTGCATTTCTTCCTTCCTTACTGAGTGACACTGTATACTTTTCTAATTCTATGTCCCCTCTTGTGAATGGTGTTCCAGGGAACCTTGAGAATCAGTAAGGCTCACAGACCAGTAAGAGTTGGGCCACCTGGACTATTCCAGATGGCTCAGTGGTTAAGAGCACTGGCTGCTGTAGAAGAGGATCTGGTTTCAATTCCCAGCACCCATATGGTAGCTTAGAATTATCTATAACTCCAGTTCCAGAGCATCTCTATTC